TATTTTTCAATTTCATTTCTTAAAATTTAATTTTTATATTAACTTTGGTCCTCATTTTTATAATTGTTATTTTCTTTTTTCCTATTATTTTTTTATTGAAATTTTTTATTTATCAAATTTGATCCTTATTATTTTGATTGTTACTTATTTTATTTGAAATAATTTATGAAATGTTAATTATTATTATTTTAATTTCTTCATCTTTTATTTTTTTTAGATTTGATCTCTATTATTTTGATTATTGTTTTTTTTATTTGAGATAATTTATGAAGTTATATATTTTTAAATTTCATTCTCATTCAATTTTTTAATTTATAAGATTTGTTCCTCATTATTTTAATAAACTTGAAAAAATAAAACACTAATAAGTTATTTTCTAGTTTATTTTCCATAATATAACCAAATACTGAAAAGTATTTTTCAGTTCATTTTCATAATACTACCAAACATCGAAAAATAATTCACTTTCCTCGAAATTTACTTTCCCAAAGGAAACAACTTTTCTGCAAATAAATGGATTAGTTTTAGGTATTTCTTATATCTCAATTTATGAAAATAATTGCTTTATTTCATAAAAAAAAACATAATATGTATATATCAATTTTCATGACTCTAATAAATTTCCCGTATTTAAGAGATTATCAACTAGGAACATTTCAAGAATAATACTTTGATGCAATAGAAATTCTTAATTATAACAATTTTATAATTTTTTTGTAAAATATTTTTGTTTCATAGACTTTGTCTTTATTTTAAATTTATAAATTAAATATTATATTTATTAATCTAATATTATATAAATATTAAAAACAAATTAAATTTTTATTAATAATACCACGTATAATTAACTGAGAAACAAGCATATTAAACTAACAGAAATTATACTAGTAATTGGTAGTCTTGTACTTCCAATTTATAATTCTATATTGCATTTTATAGCTCTTGTGTAGTAAAGGATATAGTAATGCTAGTTATCATCTTATAGTTTTATAGTACATTTTTGGAGTTTTGGAGCATGCATTACCTCTCTCTCTCTCTGCGCAAGAGCATTCGTCTACCCTTCATTGTCTTTTATTTTAGTGTTTTTTTCAGTTTTTTTTCTTTCTTGGGTTATGAGTTAGAAGGTTAATCAATTGCCGAGAGAGCTAAAAGGTAATGGAATTAAAGCTCAGTTACTTGAACATGCCTTTCCTGGAAACTGAACATGACTTTTGGCACACCATGCCCGCATGGGTTCAATTCTGCTCCTTTAGAACTTTCTGCGGTTGTGCACCGCCACCTATCAAACCGTGCATGCGAAGCTACCTTTATCATCCAGTGGTTTGAAATGAAAAGCACATCAATTCATACATTTTCTGAGGCCTTGCTCCTCATACCATGACGAGACACCAAATTGTTGATAAAGGGTGTGTCCCCTCCGATAAAAGGGTTGCCTTGGACACCACCTCGCCCCCACAATCTGTGCAGTAATCAATTCATAACTTCAAAAGGCAATCCACTACCCACACAAAGGTTTTCAGCTTTTTGCTTTTGTGCCATCGGAAACCAAAAGAGAACCCTCTACTGCTGCCCCATCTCCTCCGGTCCCTCGTAAGTCATCCTCAAACAAAACTCAGCGTTGCCTCTTCAACTGGTTGTGATCACATGCCATCCATTTCGTGAGAAAACAAGTAAAATAAATGAAATCAGTGAAGGGAAGATTCCTCAAGAAATTGAATTTCATTCCAAGTATAAGCACACTGAAACAAGGTCTAGTTTCCCATATGAACTCCTCAGAAAACTTTTCCGATCAGAGCTTGCAGATACCACCAATTTACATACAAAAGGATCACAAGAAAGACAGTCTATCTGGTGATTTTGGTGTGTCAAAGCAAAAACCAGAATCCAATGATGAAGAACTGGACTTGGGAATTAATCTCTTCGACAAGGTGAACACCACACCCTCCATAGTATCCAATGACAGATTATCTGTAATGGCCCCAGTCGCTACAGATATCAACGTGGAGCAATACACGGGAAGTGAAGCTGAGAAAGAGATTGAAGGACACCCATCTCTTTCAGATTTTGAAGAGAAATGTCTTCCCGGAGGAAGTCAGGCTGTAATTCTCTACACAACAAGCTTGAGAAGTATAAGAAAGACATTTGAGGATTGTCATGCTATTCGGTTTTTGTTGGAAAGTTTTAAAGTAATATTCCACGAGAAAGATGTTTCGTTGCACTTGGAATTCAGGGAGGAACTATGGAGGATAATGGGTGGCAGGGTGATTCCTCCAAGGCTTTTCATAAAGGGAAGGTACATAGGAGGAGCTGATGAAGTGACTGGTTTGCATGAGCAAGGTAAGCTTAAGAATCTCTTGGCAGGTATACCACTCAATCTGTCTAATTGCCCTTGCACTGGTTGCGGTAACATACGATTCATAGTTTGCTCCGATTGTAATGGCAGTCGTAAGGTCTTTGCAGATGATCAGAATGATAAGACATACATTAGATGCCCTGAATGTAATGAAAATGGATTGGTTAAATGCCTCATCTGCAGCTGAAAGTCTAGCTACTTTATTTTCCTAAACTCTTGCTTGATTCTGTATCGTATTATCCATCTTCCCTAACTTTTCCCCCAGTTATATAACATCCTGTCTTGTAACTTGAAAAATGCTTGGACAGACTTCCCGGTGCTTCTCTTAGTTCTTCTATATGTAAGATTGGAGGTGCTAATGAAATGCAGCACCAAATGTCCTGGTTGTGATATATAGAGTAGTTAAAGCCCTTTCTGCTGCACAAATCCTAGTGTCATTTTCTTCCATTACTTATTTTTGTCATATTTGACTTTCTTCTCTAACATTTTTCGTCATTCAAATTTCAGTGGCAGTTTGCAAGTCTTAAAATGGAAATATATTGATTACTTTAGCACTGGATGTCCTAAAGAAAGTTTATGGATTGACCGTTCGTTGCTGCAAATCCGATTGACATTTCTTCTTTCATGCATTGTTGAACTTCAGCTCGCTTCTCTTATTCTTCATTTTTATTTCCATCGTAGACAATCATTAGAGGTAGATGTGCATTATGCTATGCAATAAGGAATAATGGTTAGTAGAATATTAGAGGTGGAACCATATTAGAACCGGGTATTAGCAGGAGCTTAAGTTATCAATATTTTTTTTCAGATTAGGTTGAATTATTGTTTTCTAGGATGATGAGGAAACACGGCCCTCAGGAAGCAAGAAAGGGAAGGATGATGACAATATGGGAAAGAATCTATTCAACGTGGGTTTCTGTCAGGTGTGGAGCCTTGTGAAGTTGAGCTTGAATCATTGTCAAGATAAGTTTCGAACGATAATGGGTTGGGAGAACATGCACATGGCTCTTCAAAAGATTATAACAAAAGGTCACTGGTTGGTAACAAAGCTAGTATGGTGCGATAAAGGAAAGTGTAAGGCCATGATGATGCTTTTCACGCCAAAGGCCTTTTATGATGAGTCGTATAATGCAGCTTTCTTGCATTGTCAAACTAGGCTACCAGTTCTTGATTCATGCTTTCAGTCCATGAAAGCAGTGGAGCAAAACTATTTTGATTTCTTGCTTTAAATATTCTGGTAGTTGTTGCTCGACTCTTCCGGAACTTCTAGCTTTTCGGCTGATTTGAAGTGTCTGAATGGTGTACTCTTGTCCAAGCATTTTTATTCTATACAAATGCAGAGGATAATTCAAAGTAAAATAGGCAGGAAATTAACCCAGAAGAAAATCGTGGCACGTAAGCGACTATAGAGCCAATACTCAGCCTTGAAGGCCCGACTTCACCGAGTCAAGTAGAAGTGGGGCCTTGCCTCATGTGCAATTGCCTTTGATATCCTGAAAATTGGCTCAAATTTGAGTTGATGATGATGTTATATTTCATATTCATTTTGTCTGTCTTTGTAAATACCAGTATGTGAATGGTGGGCCTGATCCAGCCAGGGTTGAGAGTTTGTTTGCTTGCAGAGATGTCGTCATGGCTTAAGGCTACTTCTGTGATCATAAAATTGCTACCGGAAAGGCTAACAAAGATGCCACAGGCTGAGTCAAATTGCATAATGAAAACTTGAAAATGAAAAGCTGTAAGCAGCATGTTTCTGCATTATGATTATGGTTCTGTAGCGAGCAGATGAACTAATCAAGTCATTATCATTTAATCAGTCTTCCAAGGCCTGCAAAATTTCCCAGCATAAGTGTAACGTATAAAAAAAATTATTCATTGCGATCAACATCATCTTCTTCACCTATCAGAATCATAATCATCACCATCAATTCACTATTAAAAACTAAAGAAACAGATTAAAAAAAACCAATCTCAAGGCTTTTATATGGAAACAAGTGAACGAAGAATCTCAATCTTCACTTCACAAGCCGAAAGAGAGCTTCTTGTCAACGTTAAATGTTCATAACTTGCTCAACTTGCACGGAGGAATAATCCAAATGATGCTGATGGGAAGGGCATATCCTGAACGTGCACAGCTGGGGTAGGAATTCTATAGAAAACCCTTTCCTCTCCACATGTTGGTTGAGGTAGCTAAAAGAGACTTTAGGCTTGGGTTTTTTTAAATCTAGAAAAGGAGCATGCACTCCACAGAACCTTTTCGTGTCCTTGAATACAAATCTCGAAAAGTTCCTCTTAGCAGCTCACACTACACAAGGAAAGGAATAATTGGTTCCAATCCCAATCTCGAAAAGTTCCTCTTAGCACACCGCACAAGGAAAGGAATAATTGGTTCCAATCAAATAAGTTGTCACAGAACCAGAATCCTAAAATGAACAATCTCAAGGAATAATGCCTCGATTTTCTTAATGAACAATCTCGAGGGTCAGATTATTGCCATCAGCGGATGATACAGGAACTTGAGATCATGTGCAAACAAGGGAAAACATAAACGATAGCTCCATTTGGAAGACCAGATTAGAAGAAACACAACATGATCCTTTTCTATTCAACCTCCTCAAAAAAGTTGAAAAGGGTCCTCTTTGTTAATATCATTCACATCATAAGATCACCGTTTGTAGAACGAAATTTTAGTTAGACTAATCACACTTCCCTAAAATTTACAGTGTGTCTAAACAGCAGCCTCTGATATGGAGGCATCGACTGGATGTGGCAGTGCTATCACCATTTCTGTCGCTTGAGTTTCAGTCAAAGGTTGCCAGTACTGGGTGTAGTGGAATTCGATCTGCAACCGATGATGAAGAGGTTTTGATGCCATTAAACCTTTCTTGATGTCTGCCTGCAGTTCCCTGATTGGAATTGCAGCCAAGAAACTCTTTATGTACGCTTTGCAAGAATCCTTTCCTTGGCACATAACCTCCCCTTCTTCCTCACTCTTTAATGGTTCCTCACTTGTAATTGGTTCTTCATTCTTGGTTACCAGCGCCCCCAATGTAGAAGCCGCCTCCTCCTTCAGGTTCACTTGATGCTGATCCTTGGGTTCTAAGTTGGCTGGCCCATTCTGCTGATCACCCATTGTTTTCTCATCATATGATTCCGCAGCATTTGGCAACTTATGAATAATTGTGTTGCTGTCAAATTTCAAAATGTAGGCCTGATTGCATCCCTCATATAGCCTCTCCCCTAATGTGTCAATAATGTAGTAAGCTTCTGGTTCAACCTTTAGGATGAAAAAATGGTCGTTCCAACTTACAATGTAGACCTGAGGTTCACCATCACTTGGACATTCCAATCCGATACGGCTTATCTCATCCCAAATGTTATCAAAGGACATGGCTCCTTGCAAAAAGTCAAATCTTCCCTCATCCATCCCATCTGGATGGAAAAAACCAATAAAAGACTTGCCAGGGACAACAGCAATGGAACGAATTTTGGCTTGGAGAACTGTTTCAAGGTCAAAGTGTTTGTCAGGGAACCGCTCCCTGTAGGTTTCATTCTCACAGAGGTTTCTCCATTCCAAGGACCCTTCTCTGATGAGACTATCAAATTGGGACTTAATGGGCATGAGACCATGGTTATTCTGAAACCAATTGGCAATAATAGCAACTAGGGCTGTACAAGCACTCTCACCTGCAGCCTGCTCACTTCGTTGATCAATGGAAGCAAAGAAAACCTCAGTTTGAAGCTTCATCTGTCCATCACGACTTATCACTTCTTTTTTCTCCCAAATTCCTATGGCAAAATTGTCGTCACCAAATTCAGATACTGATGATCGATTTGCATATGTATCCTCCTCTGCCTTATGCCACTGCAAAACAGTTAGTGTTGTTTCAATATAGAAATTCATCTGATTATGAAAGGAATTATTAATCACAAAACAACCTGAACCATCCTTCAAGATGACCAACAATGTTTTCATTTTGTGTACTTTTAATACTGCTACACTGGAAACAAATAGCATTAAAAAGTGTGAAAGTAGAGGAAATCAACAGATGGCTTACGCCAAGAGCAAGAGATTCATCAGAGCTAAGCTGCCGGCGATCAAAATCAATATCATCCCCGCCTTCTTCTCCATATGCCTTCTTCAACAATGGCTCTCCTTTAGCTTTAGGAGACCTAAAGCTCAACTTCCTTTTCCGCCATGATAAAATGCTGCGCTTAGGTTTCTGCAGGAGAGATGGCTCAGAGACTGATGGGGTATTATCATCACTGTGTGAGCAACCCACATCTGACTTGCGATTGCTGTAGTAAAACCAATCTTCATCTTCAGCATTTATCCTTGCACTATGGTAAAAAGATCCTCCAGCATAGTTTGCAAAAGCCAGTGTGCCATAACTGAATGACTTCCTCACTGTAGAATCCTCCTTGACCTCATCCAATTCTCCTTCCTCCAAATCATCAAGTGACTCACAGTCAAATGGATAGTTATAGTTATCCTCACCATCCTCGCTCCTAACAGAGCACCTGCCTTCACTGCCTTCTTCCTCGCGACAGGCCTTTTTTGCTCTCCTGGTAGATACATATCCAGTAAAAATCTTTACCTTTCTGAGACCAGCTTTGATTGCAGAGAGCTCATCCTTTTCAGTTGAGACAGCTTCTCCAGATTGAGGTGAAGATGGAATGGGTACTATAGCTCTCTGTACTGACTCAGAGGTCTCATGAGCAGTTCTCAATTCCAACAAGCTGAGTGATACCTGCAAGATTCATACAAACTGAGATGAGAAAATATTAAAAAAATTGAGAAAACATTAGAAAAACAGAAAAGTCAGAGATTTTGTATAGCAAGGACAGGAGAGGCAAATTAAATATGCAGCAGGATAATTTTCAAAAAATCAGGAAGAATGGAGATTGGAAGAAACTCAAAGGCACAACATACACAGAGCAAAGGGCGAGGCTCGGCGACACCAGCAGAGACCATGAGCGGAAGTCTTAATTCAAACTCCTTCTGTTCAGCTGCAGAAGCAAATTCAGCGAGGTTCACTGTTGCTGTTCCAACTCCAGGAACCTTATTCTTGGGCCCCTGGTTCACACCCTGAATCAGAAAACAAAACAGCTAAGTTCCCTCCAAAGTTGTTAACAGGAAAGACAAATCCAAACAATCGAAGCAACAAGTTTTTTAAAAGGTCAAATAAAAAACCATTTCCAAGCAATCTCCTCAACAAAAAGGTTTTGAAATGACAAAACCATCAGGCAAGAAACCTGCAAGATATCCAATATACCCAAGCTTTTTTCCAAGACAATAAAGAAAGAATTACTTGACTAAATCCAACCCCTAAATCCCTTAGAGACCAATTAAGAATCATTTGTCCGCCCGAATTGACTACCACAATGACCCACGAAAAAGAAATCACAAACATAAAAAATAACGTATAAAGAAAAACCTTCACATGCTTGTATTCTTGAATTAAAAAACCACTTCATCTCAATTACAAGCAACCCAAAAACTAACAGTAACTAATCACCAAAAATGAAAATTTTAAATTCATGAAAAATAAACGAAACCCAGAGTTTTATTAAAGCTAGACATTTCATAGGCCAACAGATTTTCCTAGATTCTACAGCAAACCCACAATTTTTTTAATCATATTTCAATGGATAAGAAGACAACACCCTTAAGAGATCTTGAAAAGAAGATTAAATTTCTATGGGGAAAAAAAAACTCACATTGAAGACAGTGAAAGAGATCTCCCAGGGATGAAACACATTTTCTTTATGGGCAGACAAAGTACATAAACTCTCAAACTCCTCATCCCACTCCACCAAAACGCCACCGTTTTCCCCTTCACCACCGCCACCATAAACCTCCACTTCTTTCGTAAAATCCCTCTTCACAACCGTCCTCCTCAATGAACTCAACGCCAATTTGGGCCCTTTCCACCTAATCTCCACAGTCAATTTCTCCGACTTGTCCTTCAAGTCACCACCTGACGATGTCCCAGGTGCAGCAGCTAAAGCTTCCCGCACTCGAGCCCAACCCTCAATCCTTCGCACAGCAAGCCTCACCTCATACTTCTTCGAAATCAAAGGTGGCCATGGCCGCCACCTCATCATCTTCACCACCATTCCTCAAAACAAAACAAAAACCTCCAAAAAAATTATCGTAAGAATATTAAAAAATGTCTCTCCATTCCTCTATAATGCCCACATAAACTCGTCAATAATAATAATAATAATAAAAGAATCTTTATAGTTGTTTGAAGCAAAATCAGATATGCCGAAGAGAAAGGAAGGGCTACGCCGTTATTTAGGGAGGGGCTTTAGAGAGAGGAGGGGGGGGATCTTTCTCTTTGATTCTGTTTTAACATCGCCCTATGACCATCAACAGAAACAAGTCAAAAGCAGGGTACGATGGGCGAGGG